TCAAGGGAATGTAACTTGTCTATTCGTTTTAAGCGCTCGATTTCGCAAAAGCGTTAAGAAAAATTTGAGAAGCTAATTGTTCTATTTTTAAGTCGTAGTAGTGATTTATACGCAGTTAAAAACAGCAAATCAAACGGGCAGGCATTAGGCTTAGCCGATTTCCGAGGTGCGATCAAAATGATGATAATAAAACTCCTGCATTTATTTTTTCTTCCTTAGACTATAAGAAGGGAAAATTTTCTTACTTCTTACAAATCCAATAAGAATTGCTTGCCAACTTGCCTAAAGCAAACCGGGAAAAGAGAGTATGCAAAAAAAAAAAAAAAAAAAATAGTAGGAGAGTACAAACGTTGTAGGTAACACTACACTGCCACAGCTATAGGCTAAACTTATCGGAAGTCTTTCAGTCTGCAACAAAAAAAACGCGCCGACTTCCTTTTGCTAAATATCACGATATATTTTTCGAATACAAATTAATTGTTAAGGAATGCTAAACAATTTTAAAGTGTAAGAATTGGTTTAAAAGCTTTCTGCAAGCACAATTACCTAAGCAGTTAACAGTTTTACATTTAAAGAGTCCGCCTGATTGTGGTAGAGTTTTCAATAAAACCGATGCCTTATATGTTTATGTCATAGTAATAATATGTTTAAAGAGTTACGCACTGGAAGTTCTTGCACGCAGATTGATGTTGAAACTGGACTTAAGCGGTCAAAGAGCACGCCTGCATTGCATTTTGTTTAGTCGTTACTTATAAACTGCAAAAGACATACGATTACAATTTTCAAAATTTTTCCAACTTTCTGAATACGAAAATTTTAGATTTTCATTGGTTTTTCACTCTTTTTTACTCTTCTATAGAAGTGAAGCATACAGAATATTCAGTCACGGCCGAACAGCATATCCTACCTATTTTAGTTTAGTTTACTATTTTATCTTTACATAATTCAAAAAAATATACATTGTTTGGATAATAAATGAAAATGAGCTATAAAAGGTCTTCTTGTTCGAAATACGGAAGCCTATTAGGCTTACCGTAAGGTCGTAGGATTCGTTATGAAAACATGCCGCCGTTTCGGGTTGAAAAAACCTTCAGATGTCAATTAAGGCTTTAAAGTGACAGCAATATGAAATCTGTGTTTCGTATAATAATACGCCGGTCGTATGGATTAAAAAAGAATAAATCCCAGTAACTTTTCTTACGAAGTAAAACCATGTGGACAGCGATCATTTTATATCTTCAGGTTGCAGATTCCTGTTCAATTTCGATAGTGGAATCGATTCAGACCTATGTATTCATTGAAACTCCCATTATAAACCCGTTATTCATCGTTTAAGCTCATCTGTAGTTTGGAGCAAAGGCGTCAAATTATTAAGCAAGCACACAAATTCATGTACTTTATTTTATTTCAACTTAAAAGGAAAATTATATCAAATACAAGACATCCAGTGGCGAAAAAAAGTGAAAAAAGTTAATATATTCTCTACCAGAAGTAATGTAGAGTGTGAAGAGAATATAAGAATTTCTCTTCGTCTGTGACCAAATTTTTTATACTCGCCACATCCATCTTAAAAAGCACTAAAGAAAAAACTGGAAAAACTATATTTCCATAATCTACAAGATTAAATGCGCCGTGACTGGTTTTTGTCGTTTTTAAAGCATATACGTGGAAATTTTTATCATGTGTCTTTTATGGTTTATACATAATTGGCGGTACCATGGGCATGTCCTTTTATCGATTTATTCCATTTCCAATATTAACCTACTTACAACGACTTTCAATGTTTTTGCCAATTTTCTAGCTGATAGTTTGATTTTTGCGGCCAGCAGGATGTTTACCATAGACGTTGCACAGAGAGGTACCTACACGGTAGGCTTAGATATCAATGCTGTTCAAAAATACACATACTTTATGAGGCATATGAAGCATCCTTGCAGGTTTTCAAAAATGAATATAGCGCCGTCCTTCTCTACGTTCTTAAAACGTTCGGAGTTTTAAATTTAAGAAAATTCTCACTCCAAAAAATTTTATTTTACTGTCAACTTTGAACAACTAATGCAAAGCCGAAAAATTTATCAATAGGAAAGGCGTCGTTTTCCGTAGCGTCAATGCCACACCACACGCGTTTTGAATGAGAAGGCTTAACTAGGAAAATCTGATGCATCCGATATGTATAAGTGGGAATAATATCTGTTTCGTTCGCCGCGGAACGTTCCTAACGCTGTCAAATTGACCTCAAAGTCGGTCGGCGAAAATTACTTGATCTTCTTTTTCACCAACAAATACCCGAAGCATTACAGCAACAATACAATGGTTTTACCAGAAAAATGGCAAAGGCGTATCCAGATTTCATCCGTCTGACTTAGTAAACCTAAGTTAAGACAAAACGAAAAGGACATTAAAAACGATAGCAGTTTCTTCCTCAACGAACTGTAAGTTATTTTTAAGAAAGCTATGACACTGTAGCTATAGTTTGAGAATGCCAAATGCCTTTCCATACTAAGCCCAGCCTAGGCTATGCTCTAGGCGTTGATTATAGAAACATTTCGTGAGCAATCAAGCAGAATATCATATTCGGCTGTGGTCGAATCTTTCATTTTGAACAACTTAAAATATTTCCAAATTTGCATATTGAAGCTTCATAACATTGGGTACTTAAATACAAATTGTTAACATTATATCTGTTATACATTATGAGTAATCAGTAAAAAACCAAAAACAGCTGTGTTCTCAGTGCACGGTGTAACGTAAAAGATGTGTCCTTTGACTAACTTGGCCCATTCTCAATACCAATTTGCAAGTATGAAATTCCAATTTTTTTGTCAAACTTGATGACAATATTTTAAAATTTTTTTAACCGGTAGGTTGACACGAACAGGCGGCATATGCATATCCAGTTTAATATAGATCGAGGATCTGTATACTTTATAAAAGCTTCCAACGCTTATTCTTGAGTGCTGCAAATGTTTAGACAAATGAATGTAATTTTATTATCGATAACATTGGACAGGCGTATCCGGGTTTTTCCATTCTTCTACTGCAGCATCCGTCCGCAGAATATGTGCGAAAAGTTTCTTTATATCTATTGCATTTTATTATTAATGCGGAAAAAACTGAATATATTTATATTCTGCATCACTCACGGTACAACGATATGTTAAGTTGGTGCGAATGTGTGCAACACCCAGAACGGATCCAGAACCACTTTTTCAACAATATATTCTTGTCTATGCCCAGCCTACAGGCCGGAATTTATGAGACATTTAGATAAAATTTGATACACTGATATATTTTGACTCAAGGACGAATGCTATTGAAAATCGTTCGGATTGCACCATTTTTTCGACGACTTCCCATATAATGCCTTATTTTGGAAAGTCGTTATAGGAATAACTGTAGGTTGGCAGGATATTTATCGGTGTGCTTTTGCCCACTATAATCCGTTCAGTTCTCTCTTAAAAAAAAAAAAACAAAAAAAAAACCTTTTTTAGTCCGTAATATATTGCAACCGTTTTCCTTAAGAAATTTGGGCCATTATCTGCACCAACCCAAAATATTTTGTTATCGTCGTTTTTGCGATCTGAAAAATGTTTACCATAGACATTACAAAAAATACAGACAGACATCCCTGTCCGTACACTTTATAGCGTCTATTAAGCTTTCTACGGGATATGGTAAACATTTTGACATAATGAATATTACTCGAATTCCTGCGTGGCAAAGTTAGCAAGAATATATAATATCCTGTGGCATTGTTAGGTTGGGTGTATTTTTGCTTTCATTTGCAAAATATTTATATATTACAAATATATATGTATGAAAGTTATTTATCTCTTTTGTACAAAGTAATGAATTCTATAAATGAATAGACATGACCGTATAAAGTGCATAGAACAGAAATGACCTTTCATTTGAAATCCAAAACTCGTTATAAGAAATACATACATTTCTAGCTCTCATTGCATATCTTCAAATATTTTGAAAACTGTCAACAGATTCCTTTGAAGGAATGGTTTGTAACGGTCATTGTATTAAAACCAGTACGTTTTTAATTTAGTAAATAATTCAATGAGAAACACGATAATTTAATGGGACCCATTATAATCTCTTACGTAGTCGAAAATTTATGTTATAGTCAGGCGAGGCTGTGAAATACTTTACGCCGACGTCGCTTAAAACAATTCATACTTTCATTTTGTATACCAATTCTCATCATAAACAAAAAATTAGATGTTCTTGCCATATAAACGTTTATATTTTGTAAGCTCGCTAATACGAAACAAGTGTTCGAAAATTATCCGCTTCTTCACTCCATTTTTTCACATTTCAATAGCCTCCGTCATGAGAACATATTAAAATGTCGTCTATTGGTTGAACACAAAAATACATTGGCAAACATTTCAAATACATTGCCTCGGTTCTAACAATGATAGCGCATCGGTTAGTACAATAGATGGTAGAGATCGCTCTCGGTATTGCCTACATTCGCACAAACTTAATGTATGCTTGTTACAAATGAAGTCAGACGTAGAGTATACAAATTTCTACATATACACGTGTACACTCGCTGACGTAAGTTGCTTTCGTATTTTTAAAGGACATTGTAACTGATAATGATGTGATGACAACGGTATTTTTATGATTGATTTAAGTAATATTGGACATATGGGTGCAGTGCAACAAGTAACTATGTAGGCAGCAAAGAACACCAATAAGTGTAGTTGTGTTTTACGCAAGTATCTTAAAAGATGAGGAAAATATGTAAACAAATTTTTTCTATTCTTACAGTTTCGTCATATCTTAGTCGTTCTTTGCTGCTTGCGGTTGCTTAATGATAAACGCTAAACAATTTCTCAAGTGATTTAATTCAAAGAAAAAAAAACATTCAGAGTTTAGTAATGTAAATTTGATTTTCTACTTATGTAAACCATACGTTTATTTACTTTCTCGTGCGTTGAAAGAACATATATTTTAAAATTATTCCCTAAAAGTAATAAGTTATGAATATTGTTGAGTCGATTGCTGTTTTGCAAACCGTATACCAATTTGCAAACTTATCGCCATGGATTTTAGATAAAAAAACCTGGTCATTTTCACAGTCACGAGTGTTGGAAGTTTATACTACGATTGTTGTAATCGGTTCGTCGGCGCTAATGCTATACAGTTTGTTCACGGATGATATTCTCGTTAAAGCCAGCGACAATGAGATAGGCCAAACTGTAGACTCTATTCAAATGGTCGGTATAAGGATGGCACATATTGCCTCCGTCTTAGAATCGCTGCTAAGAAAAAATGATCAAAGGAAATTCTATGACGAAGTTAAAGAAATTGACCGCATGTTTGAAAGTTCTTTAGGCATAACGATAAATAACCAGTAAGTAAATATTCTTTCATTAGTGTTCACATTTTTCCCTATTTTAAATTTTTTCAAAGTTTATTTCGTCGAAAAACTGTAAATCGCGGAGTCGCCATGTTTTTAATTTACATGTTGTCAGAGTTCTTTATATTGGCATCTAAGTTGATTACAACGAAGCATAATTTTTTCTTATTTTGGATGTTTTATTTGCTACCTATGCTAATCTGTGGGATAAGATATTTTCAAATGTTTACCAGCATTTTAATTATTAAAGAACGCCTCAACGAACTTATTGCTGTGCTCGATGAGGTCAACTTGACGGCTGAATCTTCAGACGAAATGCAAGATTACCTTAAAAACCCAACTCCCATGAGAACGATAACGACGCAAAATCATTGCAGAAACATTTTCTCGCCTAAACGTCAACAAGAACCGAATATAGAAAATTCACCACTTATTAAATTGGTTGTTATACGTAACATTTATGATCGGCTGCATTCGCAATCTGTTGTAGTAAATCATTGCTTTGGTGTATCTATGCTGATAAATGTGGGAAATGACTTTATTTCGATTACATCGAACTGCTATTGGATTTTTATAAATTTCAAAGATTTCTCCTCGACAGTAATAGATTTTTTACAGATCGCATGCAGCGCTATTTGGTCTGTTCCTCACTTGTTAAATGTTTTGGTTTTGGCATTTATTTGCGAACGGACAGTGCACACCGTAAGTATAGGCTTTCGTTCCAGGAACTCTTGCATATAAATTCGTTCCCCGATACAAATGCTTTTAGAGCGTTGACATGGCTTTGATATTGCACCGAATAAATTCAAATTTCAATAATGACAAATATGGCTCTGCGGTATGTATGTTCATTTAAAGTCAATTTTTTGATTAAGGTGGATATATTAAAGGTCACTCAATTCTCCCTGCAATTGCTTCATCAAAAGTTATCCCTTACTGCTGCTGGCTTTTTTACTATTGATAGTACACTACTGTACACGGTAAGAGAGAAAATCGATTACAAATTACAATTATAAAAAATCATTCTGCGATTTTCTTTGTAGATTGTGGGGGCTACGACAACGTATCTAATTATCTTAATACAGTTTCACTTAAATGAAATGAAAGCTAATATTTAATTTATGGATATTACAAATGAAATGGTCAGGGATATACTGTACATTAAAATAATTAAATAAATTACGAAAGGTTTGTTTGATAATGTTATATATTTATACTCCATTCATGTGATATCGGTATATTAATTTTATATGGGTGTATGTACTTAGAACGATTTGAGAATATATCCCCTCTTTTATATTAATCGTCTGAAAATTTTACTAAATCTGAATTTACACAATGAGCATTAATGTTGTCTTGTGCTCCGTAGGTCGTAAGTTGAAGGTTTTGAAATATTTCGAATTTAGGTAGCACAATTTTATCTCAAGAAAAATTGATTTGCATCGTATTTACTCTGTCCGTTTTTAATAGTACGGAACAAATATTGTTCAAAAATATTATTTTGATATACTAAACGAATAAGTAAAATAAAGACTGAACGAAGCCATTTTTTAAACTCCTTCCTTGGTAATCGTTCCGATTTGGAATTTTACAGTGGGTCGTATGCGCCTATAATTTTGTAATTTGCCCTGTTTTATTTAAAATGCAGGCTATTTAAAATAACTTATGTTTGCAGAAAGTTTTGCCTTATTGTCGCCTTAAGGCAAAAGCTTGGACCAAGTTTGCAAATCGGTCGATAATCACCGTTTTCATCTCTTAACTCTCGCCGAGTCACTTCTCTGTATCCTACTGACTCAATCAAGATCGAAACATTTACAAAAATGAATCTTCTTTAAAAAATCTTCTTCAATTTGCAGTTGTGGACGCATTCTTACAGTGAAGCATTTTCCTTGCAACTGGCTAACTTTCTCCTTTATTAGAAAAAGTTTCTCCGATCTATCACTTTCTGAAATATTACATTCAGTCTCCATGATTGTCAATAACAGAAAGATTTGACTAAACTTTTTAAAGGATACGCCTAGAATGCTCACATGCCTCTACGACAAAAAATTTTATTTTGAATATACACAAACTCAGCTGCACCCACTCCATATTATAGAGAATAAAAATTTTGTCGTTTCCTTTTTTTGTCTTGTTTAGAGGATAACTGGGAAGGCTATGAAAGGGTCGGTCCCAACCGAATTTAATTTTCTTCTTTCTGATTGAAAATTGTTTCACATTTCAGAAATGCGTTCTCTTGATTTGCCAAAAATTCTCCAAAATGTTTTGACATAATCCTTTGAAAATATTGACAATATTAAATCGACATGCTTTGCTTCATTAATAAATAATTTACTTGTGAGAATTATAAAAAAAAATTCAACATTGTTAAGCCCCTTAATTGAGGCTCTGTAATGATTTCATACAAATACTTGAACAATTATTCAACAAATGATTCTCAAATTGGACGCTTATTCTCACATGCACGCAAACACCTGTTGAATTATTAAGAATTATTTTCAGTTTTATACGCTTACTCTCGTACATGGCCAAATTTTTATACGCTCACTCTGACATTTTTCGCTTATTCCCGTATGTGGCCAAATTTTTATACAAATGCTTGAACAATTATTCAACAAATGATTCTCAAATTGGGCGCTTATTCTCACATGCACGCAAACACCTGTTGAATTATTGAGAATCATTTTCAGTTTTATACGCTTACTCTCGTACATGGCCATAATTGAATAATTGTTCAAGTATTTGTATAAAAATTTGGCCATGTACGAGAGTAAGCGTATAAAAATTTGGCAATGTACGAGAGTCTGGCGACGAGTAAATGTTCGTACGGCGGATTTCCGCTGAATCAGCTTTCAGTAACGATGTTGCTTTTTGAATATGGCAGTCGAAGGTCTCGAACGTCTGGCCATTTTCAACGTTTTTTAAATTTCAGATTGTTCGAATATATTTTTTTTTCTCCGGGTTTTCTGATAGTTTTTTCTAATCGAAAGCTTACTAATTTCTACATAATATTCCAACCTCCAATTTTTGGAAGAAGAAAGTAAATACTCAATATAACAAAGATTCTGAATGGAACAAATACAACTCAAAGCATTTTTAAAAGAAATTATAAAGTAAGGCAATAAAAACTTTTTTTGCTCCGAATTACAATCAGTCTGTTGTGGAGCTAGGTAGTCCACCGAGTTTCATTGATTCCTTTTCCAAGTATATGACGAAACGTGTTAAATTGGTACGAACTGTTTGAACAGCCGCATATCGTTCTTTCAATTCCTTGCGTTGCGAACGAGCTTTACTCCTAAAAGTCTTCTCCAGTTTCTGAACTTCTTTAGCTAAGTCCATTTGCATTATAATTTCAGGCCAATCATCGAAAGCTTCGGACAGTGTCCAAACATCTTCTTCCTGGAATAAATTTCGAATTATTTGCAACTAATTGCTTTTATTAGAAACGAGCTGAATGAGTGCAAGTTTCAACAATAAACGAAATTATTAATTTTACTAGTGGTTCCGCTAAAAGACAGCCTAGTGTACCCAACATACGTAACGCCACCTAAAATAAGCTAATAATGATTAGAAAAATTTAAATAATATTCATCGCTTTTCGAAAGACAACTTCGAATGTACCTCCAAATCGTTCTGAGCCATTTGCTTGAAAAGCTCTCGATGGCTCTTCAAATGCTCCAAAGTCGAACGCATCAGAGATGTGGAAGGCTCCATAATTGCACAAATTTTGCAAACATAAAAGTGAAGAAATTCGCAAATTTTTCGCCCTAAGGGTGAAGTTCAGCAATTATATTAAAAATAAACAGAAGTGGATAGACGTACTTCATAAGTAAGTTTATATTTGTTTCTCGCAGCTGATTTGAGAGGTCATCACTAAGAAGTTGTGCCCGTTGCCAAAGCTGATTGATTCCAAATTTTTAGTTAGAGAAAATATTAGATGAAATATTTTACAAGCAGCACCAGTTATGCATTTAAATTTACTACCTGTTCAACAATACTTAAAGATTTTATGACATCTATCACGTCAAATGCGAATTTATCGCCCTCGACTAAATTCAAATTACTTCCACTAGTTTCATTAGACTCATAGTCCACTACACATTCATTTTCCGATATACTTCCATCGTCGATATCATTCCCATCTAAACGTTAACCACTTTAAAAAAAACTTTCAATACTTTCATGCAATTATTTCATGTTATCATCACAAACCCAAACCCCAAATCCTACTAATACTCGGGACTTTATATCAATGTACAAACATTTCGATGTGGATTGACACCAACCACCTAAAAATGAAGCTCTTGAAGATTAAGAAAGGGGCATTCAGTCGCAATACATCCTGATGTGCTTCGGTGAAATTACGTCTAGATGATGGCAACGCACCATATGTATTCAAGCAATGCAGCATAGCAGAGCACTGACTTAAAATTTAATACGCAAACACAATAAACGCATTTTCTTTTAAATAAATCTGAATTTATTGACTAATCCTTTCAATAATATACGTTCCTATACAAGAAATTAAGTATATACATCCATCACAGATTAATTTTTATGAGAAAACATAAAATTTGCGGAAATATGTAGATAGTGGCTAAAGATTTGGAAAATAGTTTACAAAAGTTAGCAAATGCGGACACGACAAAAAAAATTTGAAGTTGCATGCGTTCATATTTTACTTTTCCTTTGCGGGAAATTTAGGAGCTGTATCTCTGCAAATGGTTTGGGCAATGAATTCAATGAGCGTACGAGTAGGGCGACCTGCCATTCCTGCTCGTAAATATTCGAAACACGTACCCTTTGTTGTCATTACATTGCTTGCTTCAATGTGCATCCATTGGCCACAGGGAACAAACTCTCGTAAAAATGCAGCAGCCTTGCAGGGTTTGCCGCCTCGGCCTATACCAAAATTCTGAACGTCAGCCGACATTCCGCTCGTTACTTGTGTTGTGTAGTAGTTCCAGAGCGGCAATCTCCAAACTCTATCACCCGTATGCATACTAGCATGTTTAATCTGCTGCCACAAAATCTCTGAATTAGTAAAAACGCCACAAGCAGCCTCTCCCAAAGTGTGATGCATGGACCAGGATGTAGTACCGATATCAACAATGCATTTAGGGCAGAAATTCTGAGCGTATAGAAGAGTGTCGGCTAATACTAAAACGTCTTCATGATCTGTACCTTGAACTTTGATATGTTTGCCATTCATGCATTTTACAGTATCCCCTGACCGAAATGAATTGCAACCCATAACATTTTCACAAAGAGGGATAAGACCTCTTATATTAACCGGTAAACGCAACGCCGCTATGGCTCTACAAGCCGCAACAACGACGGCAGCTCCTGTCATGTCGCCACGCATAACATATAATTTTTCCTTCCGTTTCAAGCAAAGGCCACCGCAATCGTACGTTATGCCCTGACCAATTAGTACAATCGGTCTTTCGTTAGCTGATGTGCCGTAATAGCTAAGTTCCAAAAAGATTGGCGGCTCACATGAAGCTTTCCCCACTGACAGAAAAGCGTTCATTACCTGACTCTCGGCCCAACCCTCAACTTTGACCTCCACGTTTACGCCCGATTTACATAAAACTTCGACCACATTTTGAGCAAAAGCCGTCGGTGTCAAAATGTTTGCGGGCATTTCTTGAAGCTGACGTGTTAGATTTTGCGCGGATGCTTTCTGAAGCCCAATCCGAAATCCTTCAATATCACAAATCTCATCCTTAGTCGTATATAAATCGATTGTGGGTACGGCTATGCGATCTTTTTTCCGGCGTAATTCCTGATAGGCCCAAACACCTAGTCCAGCGCCTTCAGCGGCAGATTCGGCATGACCGCAGCTCTCCACTTCAATCCTATCTGTATTTAAAAGTGCCAGATCCATGCAAGCCTTAGCTACGGATCGTCGTATGGTCTCTTTTTGTTCGTCGATTATTTCATAAGGATTGTACCCTAGACATTCTTTTCCTAAGCCTACTATAGCTACGGCTGAATAGTATGGTATTTTCTCAGTCTCTTGAGCAAAAAGCAACCTAGCCTCCCCCCGTTTAGGCATCGGGCCGGACATACGCAATATTTCTATCATGCGACCGCCAGTTCTTTGAATATTATATTTCCAGCCGGCAGGCGTCAGAATGCCCGTGTCTTTTTTATCATCTTCATCGGCATACACTCCTAATACTAAGCCACGTGAAGGTGGATCAGCACAAATTTCTGTATGCTGTAATTGCAGCATCTGGTTAATTGCCTGCGATGCGTAGTGACGAATTTCATTAACAAATTTGCTGGCGTGTGGCAACGCGTTTGAACGTAACATTCTAAATATAATAGGCAAATATATCTCAAATAACGCGGCTTCTTTCAATATTTATGATGTATTCTATATAAATATAAAAATAAATTGTTTCGATATTTTCCTATCTCGCGAAAACGATTTCTGAAAAACTAAATTTTCAATCTGAGATCTTAACGACGTATGTGAAAAAAATAATTGAAAGCAGGAATGACAAATGTAAAAAGATTCGGGAACTCAAAGTTGCCAAATAAGCATAAGTAAAATATAGTATAAATGCAAAACATTGAGAAGTTACGATAAACAGAAAATTTTTTAAAACATACCGCAATGAAACTTGCAACCTACTGCCCGATTTTAGAAACCCACCCTACTTCGCCGCAATATACCGCCCCTTCTCAGTTACAGATTTAGCAATTGTGTTAAGATAACGCAATGTTAATACATAAAAACAATATATAAATTCTTGAGCAATTTTTGAAAGAGTAGAACATTGAACAAGAGGCAGTTTTATATACACATTGTTGATCTTTGGTGAGCTTTGGTTTACATATAAACCACGTGATAAGCAACTAGTGCCTTTGTTTTATACGTAGTAAGTTGAATGTTTAAAATAACGTGGAGTGTATTAATTTATTTTCTATTTTGTAGTAGGAATCATTCTAATGAATAAATTTGCTAAATAAGTATTAAGTGATTAATAATGCCTTCGGTTTCTATTATGATATGATAACTTCGTTTAGATTTTTCTTAAGATATGATTCTATATAAGATGATTCAGTTACGTGCACATTATATGCAGTGATTCATAACGTTTGAGCTCTTTGAACGTGATGTGAATGTATACATTGCCACAACGATTGTTCCCGGTTTAGTTGCATATTCTTCTTTTCTATATCCCCGTATATATTACAAGAATTTCAAAATTTCCAGACTTTCTGCTAATATATTGTTACGAAAATCCGAAATCTAGTTCATTCTAGCTAAGTCATTTTCCCAAAATTCCTTAAAGAGAAAAAAAACCAAATGCACATTCGCAAGCGCGTCGTGCAGCTGCAGAACGATGAAAACGGTCACCAGAAAAGCAGGTTAACGAATTAAAAATCAAGTCATAAAATTAGGTACTAGTAATGTGATGGTAAAAATGTATATAAATAGAATATTTGTGAAAGGCAAGATACTAGAAAAAGAATATTTGAGAGTTAAGCAGTCGAAAGTATTGGCAAAAATAGATTGTAAGTAACCCTACATTTAAAGAAATATAATTGTAAATAAAAGAACTGAAGTGTATTTCTCTTGAACAAATATCCGCGATATAGTGATACGGACTGTAGCTTAAAGAAAGACGAATTTCATAATAAAATATATTCGTCGCCTATTTTACAACAGTAAGAAAATTGAAGTCAAAAACTAATTACGTTCTTCGAAGTAGATCCTCAACGAAATTAAATTATTATTGTTATTATAATTTTAGACTAATGAAATAAATTCTTAGACTAGAAGAAAAAGAAATTGAGCGCTAGCAACACAGGCCATCAGCTTTAATTTATAAAAGTGCATTAGATATTGAACCTAAGTATTATATATATGGGGGAACGTCGACGCGAATTTTAGCCCGCAACAAAAAAGTACCTTTTTTTTTTTTTTGCTCATCAAAATTTTTCAGCCTTTCCGTATAGTAGTGTATATATGGGGAAATAATGTCCGCACACTTCTCCGCTCAAAACGCCGCACATGGTAGGATGCGCACACACGCACACACACACACACAACAGCATCCCTCACGTCTTTTTTTTTGTTTTTTTTTTTTTCATATCACGTCTACTACATACTCCACTTACCCTCACAAGACGGACTCCAACGCCAACGTTCACATTTTATTATGTCCCTCCCTCTCCAATTACACTCCCTCATATGACGCTAACAAACACTTATCTCCCATAAATCTTACCTCCATTACATACATTCTCCTACACAAACGAAAAACCAATCCTCTACATGCATTATTTATGATTCCCTTCACAAAAGTACATGAACAAAGAAACACGATCGTGCATGCACATGTCTACACAGATTCACACAAACACTTCTCTTCATTACACGCATCTTAATGACCAAACCAAAACACGATTTCTTCAAGAACACTCATTACTTACGATTCCGATAATAAACAAAATATCACAAAGGAAACACGATCGTGCATGCATGCCTCTACACAAATTCCCACAAACACATCTCTTCATTACACACATCTTAATTACCAAACCAAAAAGGATTCTTTCAAGGACGTACATTATTTACGATTCCGATAACAAAAAAAAAAAAAAATATATAAAAAAAGGGACACGGTCGTCCATACACATGTCTACACAAATTTCCACGAAGAAAAAAATTAAGTGCACTCTGGGTGATGCGACTATTTCACCATATCGCATTTCAGAACACTTACACGTCTCATGATCCTTCCTCATTTCTATTTTTTATTATCACTATTTCCATTCGTATAAATACCCCGCTGAGAATGGAAAAAGAACTAGTATTATGGTGCATTATAAATGATAAAAAGAAAAAGGTCGAACGGTATTTATGACCACTCTTCAAAGTATTTATAGAGAAAAATAAAAGACAGATGGAATTTTACAGATAACGCTTGAAGGTAAGTTCACCAACATTTCTATCCTATATAAGCAGAGTTTTCTCTTTAGTTACTTTCAAAAATACTAAAACCAGCAAACCATTAAAAAGAACAAATACAAAAAATTAAAATGGAACCTAACACACATAAGTGCACTTTTTGCCATGAGACAGTTGGCAATTTACTGGAGCATTACTGCCCAGAATTTGCAAGAGCTTGTCAAATAGGTTTGCAGCAAGCTGATTCCTTGAACAAAGGAAAAATTGGTGACCGGCAAACAAGGTGTAATTTCTGTGGTGTGATTGTAACCGAACACGAGTTATTCCATACCCATTTATGCAAAGAGTTCGTGCCAGGCTGTGAAACAGCATTTAAAGAAAACCAGCCTCCTACTTCCAGTATGAATGACGGCCCGTCCACAAGCAACGGCGGTAAGCGTGTTGGCAGCAGTGTTTGGAGCTAGCACCAAGAAGAAAGTTCCTGCCAATGAGGTTTATTGCGAGCCCTGCCAAGTTTTTATGATGCAGACAAAGTACAAAAACCATTTGAGGACCAACAAGCACAAATAGAAGGCAGCTGTGCTCTTAAAAGAAAATGTGTTCATCACGTCTCCGCCGACATCGGAAAATGTGATACAATATAAAATCGTCAGCGACTCGAGGGATGAGATTGTAATAAACAAATTTTTGAATGATATTCGCACATTTATACACGAGCAATGAATTTGGCTCTGTAAAGTTCAACTTGAGGCTTTTTGGAGATTACGGGAAGGGCTTCGAAACAGAAATGGTGATAACACTGAAACACTTCTCAACAAAATACGTTGCTGCAAGAGAAAACAGTGAAGTTGACGATAAGATTGACGAGCCTTTTATTGAGCTTAAAAGAGCAACTGAAGAATACCAGGAACGAGATAGCGGTTGGGCGATAGCAAAATTTAAATTCTGTGAATTAACCATTTGCAAGTTGGAGTCCATTCCTGTGGGTTCACATGTACCATTGCCAATTAGCATATTCACTAAAAAGGCTACAATTAATGTGAAAAATGCTGATGTCTACTGTTTCAAATGGTGCATATTAGCGGCTATGGCTTACAATTTCGACAAACCGTTGGGAGACGAATTACGCAGATTAGCTCACACGAGCTATTATAAAATCGGAAGTATTCGCGAGATAGTCATTAAATTTTCGGATTGACTTTTCTGGATTAAAATTCCCTATAACCAACTGCGACATCAATCGGTTTGAGCAGAATAACAAAGACTTCAGCGTCAATACATATGAATTGCTACGTTCCAAGGGTACATGGAAAGTGGTTGGTCCGGCAAGAGCCATAAAGGAACCTAAAAGTTTGCATATCAACTTGCTAACTGTTTATAACGAAACGACTAAGCAATATCATTATTGCCTTATTACCAACATGCAGAGATTGGTAAAAACTCAATACACGTGAAGTCATACATCAGGACAGTTTTGTGATTTGTGTCAAACGTTTTACACCATGACTGGAACCCGCCATAAGGAAGGTTGCACCAAAGTGAAAAGTGTATTTCCATCAGCGGGAACAGTAACCAAATTCAAAAATATGGAGAAGAAGTTGTCGCCGCCAATAATCATATATGCTGATATAGAGGCTGTGCTGAAACCAATAGAAGTTCTTAACAAGAGCGAAGAGACGAGAACAATTCAAAAGCATGAAGCGTGCGCAGTCTCTTATTATGTTAAACATGTGTATAACGAAGAGTGTGATGAACAGTATACTTTTGTTGGTGAGTATATAACAAATGTTTTTGTTTTTCATTTAAATAACTAATTGAATCTGGTTATTTATTTCTTATTTTTGGTAGGAGAAACCTGCATAGCTGAATTTCTCGGTCATATGCAGCGGAAAATGGACGACCTGTATCAGTTGTACTGGACGAATTCCGCAAGCCATAAAGAACTATTGCAAAATGAGCAACCAACAGAGATGGAAAACACTGAGTGCTACGCCTGTGAGGAAATAATTTTAGGATATAACGATAAGTACTATATTTATATTTATATTATTATTTTACAGGGGAATTTGTGGGGTTCATTCATAGGGAATGTAGGAAATGTTTTCAATTTAAGCTACCCTACTTTCCTGTTATCTTCCATAATTTAAGTAGGTATGATGTCCATCTCTTTATCACGCAGTTAGGGTCTAATTTGTCGGTTATACCTTGTAACAAAGAATTATATACATCAATAACGAAGAGAGTAATGGAAGGGAATAAGATAAAATATTTAGTGGATTTTGTAGATTCTAATAGATTCTTAATCTCTAGTTTAGAGAAATTGGCCAAATATTTGCAACCCAGTCAGTTTAAAGTGTTAAAGAGGATGTCTTTCCGTACGATTATGTAAG